AAGAAGTACGAAAAGAAGAAGAAGAAGTAACGAAAGAAGAAGAGAAAGTAGTAAACAAGAAGAGTACGAAGAAGAAGGAGAGTACGANGCCCTTAAAGCAGCGAGGGCCACCCCCGACTGCCTGAGAGACGCGAGGGCACGCACGCACGCAGGCACACACCAGCCGCGCGCAGAGAGAGAGAGGGGGAGGGGGAGGGGAGGACATTTTTTTTCTTTCTTTCTTTCTTTTTTCTTTTTTTGGATGGAGGGGGGTCGGGTGGGGGTTGGAGAGAGGACAATTTTTTTGCGTGTTTTTTTTTATTGGGGGGGGGGGGGTTGCAGAGAGGACATTTTTTTTTTTTGCTTTTTTTTTTTTGCGTTTTTTTTTTGGGGGGAGTGGGGGAGGAGTGGGGGAGGGGAGATGGCAGATGACCTCTCGTTCTCATCTTCACATTCTTATTCTCGTTTATTATTATTTTTTCTGTTTTTTTTTTTTGTCTTTTTTGGGGTGGGGGTTGGGGGGTTGGAGAGAGGGGAGGGGGTGGATGCAGGATGACCTCTTGTTCTCTCCTTCATATACTTTATTATCATTATTGTTATATTTTTTGTTTTTTATTTTTTTGTGTGTGGTGTTTTTAGATGTTTTTTTTTTGCAGGTATTTTTAATGTTTTTTTTTTTTTTTTTGAGGTGTGTTAATGTTGTTGATTTTTGTCTTTTTTTCTTTGTTTTTTTTTGTTTTTTCATTATGTTTATTCTATTCTATTTCTTTATTCTCTGTCTGTCTGTCTTTCACGTCCCCCCCCCTCTCTCTCTCTCTCTCTCAATCTAAGTCTCCATTTTCCTCCTGTCCTCCTCCTCCCCCTCCTCTTCTTTGTCTCCTCCCTCCCCCTCCCCTCCTCCTCCTCCTCGCCATCTTCCTTTTTCTTCAAGCGATCTGGAAGAACAGCAGGGAAAAAGAAAAGAAGAGAGGGGGGGGGGGAGAAGGATAAAAAAATAAGGTTTTGCTAGCGGCCTTTAAATGCTCTTTATTGTAGTCTTGTGAGAAAGGTTGGTGTGGGGGAGAGGGGGGGAGGGGGGATGGAGGTGGGGGAGAGGGGAGAGAAGAAGGGAATGAGGGAGAGAGAAAGGAGGTTTCCTGTTTCAATCTCCTTTTCCTTCTTCTCTCCTCTCTTCCCTCTTCCCTTCTGAAGTATCTCTTTCCTTTTCCCTTCTCTATATTCCTCTTCCTTCCCTTTCTCCATTTTCCTCTCTTCTTACTCCTCCTCCTCAATCTCTTTCCTTCCCCATCTGCAATTCCCTCTCTTCTCTCCTCCTCTTCCTTCCCCTTCTTCATTTTCCTCTCTCATCTCTCCTTTCCTTTCCCTCTCTTCCCAACTCCTCAATCTCTTTCTTCCCCTTCTCTCTCTCTCACCCTTTTTCATCCCTTCCCTTTCCTCCCCTCCCCCCTCTTTTCCCCTCTCCTCTCTCCCTTCTGCACTGTACTTTTGGTGTAGTTTACCTGCGCACTCCCGACGAAGCAGAAAAGGGGAGGGTGAGGGAGAGAGGGTACGCGAGTGAGGGAAGAGGAGGGGGGAGTGAGGGAAGAGGAGGGGGAGGGGGTGTAGCCATCTCTTTCTAGCCTAATTTATTTAAGCATTCTGCTGGCTGGGAAGACTGGACGAGAGTACTGCTTACCTCTACTCTACTGAGTACCTTCACCTTCCAATTTTTATTTTTTATTTTTTATATACTCATTTCAAGTCTAATTAAACCGTACTTTTCATATATCCTTTTCTTATTATTTTTTTCATTTTTTTATGTTTCTTTCTTCCCCCCTTCTCTTTCTTTCTCTTCGTATTTAGGAGGTTTAGGATAACAATTCTTTTTTTTTAATTTTCCGTAGGGTGCATTGTAAACTCATGTTCAGAATGAGAGAGTAAGAATGGTGATAAACTCTGCGTGGTTTTAAAGAAAAGAAAAAAAAAGAAAGAAATTAAATAGAGTATGCAGTTTGACCCAAAAAAAACACCGTAAGCCTCCGCCATCCCCGTCGACTTGCAGGAGGCTAACCACGGAGTTGCGGTGTTGCCACGTCTTCAGTGCACGCGATTTAGAAGGCGGGAAGAAGAAACGAAAAAAAAAAAAAAAAACATGAAATACGATTAATTTTTCCCCCTTTTTAAAAAAATCTCTCTTCTTCCTCTTCTTCTCTCTCTCTCTCTCTCTCTCTTTATAATTCGCCATTTAACCCACCTATGGAGATCAGATAAAGAGAATTAGAGAGAGAGTATCTATGAATCTTTCCCTCTGATGTTCCCTAGATATAAGCCGTGATTTTTTTTCCTCAACCGAACGTCGATATAAAAGTTTGTTTTTCATAAGTGTAGACAGGGAAAAAAGGAGCGAGTTCCCGAGCCGGTGTTTTCAGCTGACTCCGCCAAAATCGATTGAAGCAGTTGCTGGGAAGTGAAAAGTGGACGAGAGAGAGAGAGAGAGAAGAGATGAGAGAAAAGAAAGAGAGAAGAGAGAGGAGAGAAAGATGAGAAGAGAAGAAGAAGAAGAAAGAAGAAAAGAAGAAGAGAAGAAGAGAAGAGAGAGAGAGAGAGAGAGAGAGAGAGAAGAGAGAGAGAGAGAGAAAAAGAAAGAGAGAATGAGAAGAGAAGAGAAGAGAGAAGAGAGAGAAGAGAGAGAAGAGAAGAGAGAGAGACCGAGAGATGGGAGGAGAGAGAGGAGAGAGCTCGAGGACGAGAGAGAGGGAGAGGAGAGAGAAGATGAGGAGAGTAAGTGGAGAGGAGGAGACGGGAAGAGAGAGGAAGAGGAGAGAGGGAGAGCGAGAGCGAAGAAGGGAGGGGGAAGGAAAGAGAAAGAGCACAGACAAGGAAGAAGAGGAGACAGAGACAGACATGCAGAGAGAGAGATAGAGAGGGAGAAACAGAGACAGACAGAAAAAGACAGGAGACACAAGAGGCGAGAAGGCTGCACCCAACTCCTGCAAACGGCCTACAGTTGTCCCACCCACCCAGTTCCTCCCTAAACTTCATTTTCCGCCCAAAGAAATCCAACCACAAAGGCAATATTTGTAATTTCATTTTTTGTATTGCGGAGGGAATTTGGCGCCCGAGTAGAGTGACGGTTCGCAGAGAAAATCCTATGATGGCTTTCCCCCGGTTCCTTAAAACGAAGCCCGGTGAACTTATGTGGCGGAATTGCTGAATCGATATAGTACAACCCTGAAATAGGCTTCCCTTATTGTGTGTTTGATTTTGTTTTTTTGTTTTTTTTTGTTGTTACCAGAAAGTAGTAGTAGTAGTCGGACCCCGCTTAAATATTTATAAAAAATATAAAAAAAACACTCGCCACCCGCGCAACACACAAACAACCAATAAACCATACAGGTAAGGCAACGATAAAAATAGAAATAATATTAAAAAGAGACGAAACAGCAGAGAGAGAGGGGGGGAGGGAAGAAGGGAGAGAGAGATAGGACGAGCAAGATGAGAGAGAAGAAGAGCGAGACGACTGGAGCGAGACCGCGACAGAGAGCGCCGGGAGAGAGAGGAGAGAAGCAGAGAAAGAGAAAGGAGAGTGAGGAGAGGAGACGCAGAGAGAGAGAGGAAGAGGGCGGGAGGAGAAAAGGAGAGGAGGATAGGGAGAGAGAGCGAGCGAGAGAGGAGAGAGGAGAGAGAGAGATGAGACGATGCGAGAAAGAGAGAGAGGACGGCTGGAGACAGGGGAGAGGAGAGAGAAGAGCGAGATTGGAGGATAGAGGAGAGAGAGAGAGATTGGAGAGACCAGCCCCCAGTGATTAACGCTGCTGGGACATCAGAAGAATACAGGCGACAGCAATGGACAGACAGACAGAGAGAATGAGGAGGACGAGAGAGAGAGGACGAGAGAGAGAGAGAGAGAGAGAGAAGAGATGGAGAGATAGAGAAAGGAGAGACGGAAGAGAGACGAAGAGAGGAGAAGACGAGGAGAGAGAGAGAGAGAGAGACAGACAGACAGACAGACGAGAGACGAGAGAGAGAAGAAGAGACAGAGAGAGGAGAGAGAAAGAGAGAAAGAAGACAGAGACAGAGAGAGAAAGAAAGACAGAGGAGACAGACAGAGACAAAGACAGAGAAAGAAAAAAAGAAAAAAAAAATATATAACCACAGCACACATACAATCACAAAAGCAGGACTTGCCACACACGATCAAACACCAGTGCACAACCCTGGTTTAAATTACACTCCATTTATCCACCCTCGACAAAGGCCGTTGCATAACCCTGGGCTATGGCACTGACCCTAACGAACACAACCTGTGATATTCATGCGTGAAAACTACAGCTGCTCCCCCTCTCGCTTCGATCCTTTCCTTTGCCCTGGTCACTGTACGGCCTATTGCCGACCCTGTAAATTCCTGACCATTTTTTCTGAGCCTTGTAACTCGCTGCTAACTATGTAATCTGTATTTCTATAAGCCTGTAAACTATGT